AATTAAGTAGAAAAAAAATTAATAGATCACAAAAAATTATAAAAAACACACACAAAAAAGTGTACATATTTGTTAAAGAAAGATACTTAAAAAGGCTCTATATTAACCTCAAGCTCCAAACAGAAATACAATACTGATCACAATAAAGTCGTAAAGTTTTTTACTTACAGCTAATGAATTGGTTTTATCAACGTACATTCATAATATCCAAGAACTGAAAAATGGCATAACAGAAAAGTGTGAAAAAATTAACAACTGACTTAAAATGTTGAAGAACGTTTTTGCTGGATTGCGGAGAAGAGTTAGTTTGTGATTAGACGTAAATGGACGACAATTTATTTAGTTGTATACAGGGTGTTAGTATATTCTACCGATAACGTTCTACCATAGAAAATGTTCAAATTATTTGAACCACTCTGGAGTAATAAACTATTTCATTGTAAATGATTCTGTTGCAAATTATTGCCACAACTAAAAGGTGCTGAATTAGTCCCGGCTGCCCCCCTTTTGTCAGCCCTGTTGAATTTTAAGAATTCACACCCCTTCAGAGAGCTTTCGTTAATCGATGAATTTTGATATAGAAACATGAACCTTTAAACGGCCTAGTTACTAATTTAAAAATTCTAAGTTACCAAGATACAGTATTAAATTAAAATTCAAAATTTCCCATAAATCAAAAAACTATTAAAAATTTGACACGTGTCTACTAGATTAGAATTTAGAAACATTGAGTTGTTACAATTTATCTAAGTATATGCAGACTTTTGTTCAGAAGAAACTTTCCATTTTAGCTCCATGAAAGGTTATTACTTTTTAACCAAAAATTAACAGAAATAAAAAAAATAAAAAACTAGGGAAAAAAATAGGGTAACAAAAGTTGCCACTAACCTTGATGACGCGCCCCTGGTTAAATTTTTCACAAGTTAGTTTATGTCAAAATATTAATCTCATAAAGAGCATATTGATTACCAAATTTGAAAAAATATTTACAGTTCATCAAATTTCTAGAGGCTTTCGACGGCTAGACAGAGAAAGCACTACTGACGGGTATCCCGACGGATTTACGCAATGAAAGTACACTCTGCGCATCAAGTATTTCACTATTTCATTCAGACGTAAATGTCAGATGTAAATTTCGCTAAAACATTTCTTTTATTTTCGTTTGTGTTTTTTGCTCATTACAGTTTAATAGAACCTAAGTATGGAGTTTAATAGCAAATTAAGAGGCCGCGTGATTAACAGTCAATCTCGCGAAATAATAGCCAATGTTATAGAGTTTATGAGAAGAGAAGGAAATTTTAATTCACCTTCAATACCATTTAAAAATGTAAATGATCGTGTTACTGCAGCCACAGGAGTATCTAAAAACACTGTCGTCCGCATTTCTGGAGAGAAAAAAAGAATCGATAACCGTGAGATATCGGAATTTTCATCACCAAGAAAAACCATTAAAAAACCAAAAACAGTTAATGATATAGATGAAGTTGCACAAGAATCAAATTTTATTTTTTTATTATTAGATAGCTATTTTTGTTTCTGAGTTGTGTTCATTTACAGGCTCAATTTTTTTCCGTTTCTCCTTTTTGATTTTATATGGGGTTTCAAGTTGTTTTTGACTTATTTCGACGTAAATCACAACAACACACTTTTTTAATAAAGCAAACAAGTGTTAAGAGGTATATGTACGTGTAAACTACAATTACAAAAAATTGATATGAAACCCATGAAACCACCAACAAAAATGTAAAGCTAGCTTCCGTACTAGAACATGGTGTCATTCGTCGAGATAATTTATCGTTTTGTTTAATAGATCAAGAAATGTAAATATTCCCCTGTTATTTTTTATAAAATTATAAGAGAAATAAATTTTTTTCTAAATAGTATAGTTTATTATTTTGTAGAAAAACAAAATTTCGAAAATTTTAGTAATGTTTCAGAAACAACCGTTATTAATAATAGGTACCATTTTCCTTAATAAGGTAGAAATAAAATATAAACTATTTCCACGATTTACAAAGGCCTACAAAAAAATTATAGGTATTTTCCGCTATCCTATAAAATTTATATTTTCTGACCCAATTTCAAAAGGTTGAAGGAATTCCAAAACACCTTTTATGGCATAATAATTATTTTAAATTCTACATACTATCTTTAGCTGCTTTTAAAAACGTTTTAAGAAAGTCCAATCAGACCAATTTAATCCCTAAACTATTCCACACTTTTAAAATTTAATTACCTAAAAATATTAAAAACTATTTAAAATAACTTGTTTAGCAGACTGTACAATAGCTATCTTAGTCACACGTAGCGCGTTCTCTGTCTGGGCGTCGAACACCTCTAGAAATTTGATGAACTGTAAAGTCGGTCATACCATTAAACAGAAGAATAGAGTTTAGGAACGCAGAAAATGCTGAATGGATTGGTCCTGAATCATCAAAAGAATTATTTGACATTTGGAAAAAACTAAAATATAGATGCACAGAAAATGCGACACATGTAGAAATTACGACTGCAAATCAACATGATAAAACTGATGATTCGAATGCGGAAAATGAGAAGAAAATTTAAACATTAGCCATACTCTTATAGACAACGATCTTGAAAAGTTGAAAAAAAATTGTTTAATATTGTACAGAAAAAATCAAGGAATAGTACAACGATCAGAATTGATTGAAGATGGTAGTAAAGCACTCCAGCAACATCGAAAATAAATTAAACAATACAAACGAAATAAATGAAACTATCGAAAGTGGAGAAAACACTTTAATGACAAAAGAACAAGAAATACGTGTCGTGATCCTAAACAACAACGACTCAGCTAACACACTAGGCCATAACTTTAACAACTATTATCCTCAAGTGCCAAACACATCGCAAAATCGTACAGCTAACCCAACGTATTCGAACCAACGTATCAGTGCTTCTTTTATAGATCATATTTTCTGGCCAGAGAAATACCCTGAGAAAAAAGGTATCGCCAAAAAAACTGAAAGACTTCCTTACGCCACAACATCCTTAAGATGGCTTCAACTTCATGAAGTCAAAGAAAGGCTTAAAATAGAAAAGGAGAAGGCAAAACAGGAAAAGGCTTTATCAAGAGAAAGAAAAAAGGAAAGCTTAGGAATGTCGCAAATAAAAGAAAAAAGGAAACAATAAAATAAAGAAAAATAAAATGTTCCACTCGACCATTCATTGTTTAGTACTAATTAACAGTGCTGTTTCTAAAGTGGCGCTGGGAAACAGTAACAAAGCCTACACAGAACACGAGGCTAATAACTGTAGCAGTTGATGCCGATGACACAAAAAAAAATGTGCATAATAGAGGATTTTGATAGTGAATCATGCGAAGAATGGGAATAAAGTGGATCCAGCCTAGATGTTTCTGCTGAAAATTTGTCAAATTATAGTAAAAATGAGACATCGAGAAACGAAGTTGGAACAAATACGATTAAAGGCACGAGTAAAGGAGATTTTTACTTGGTTAGCTTTCCAGAAAAAAAGGTTGAACATAAATACGTTTGCTGTGTGCAAAACATAATTAACAACAATGAACTAGAGGTGCACGCATTTTCACCAGCAAAAGGTTTTTTTTTTGTTCAAATATTCTTTTTTTGCTTAAAGTACTGCCAAATTTGCTGATAATTTTTAATTTTAATTAAAACAATTATCAAAAAAGTTCTATATTTTCAATTTCAAAAATTTGCTTAGATAAAATATTAGGTACTGGTTTCGTAAATACGGTGTTAAAAATTTAAAAATTATTAATGGCTATAATTTTTAATTTCTCAGTAAAATTTTACTAAATTTGGTAAACATTTTTTTGTCATGAGATCAGCAAAACAGTTAATTAAACTTTGCTAGTGACGTACGGCATAGTTGAGTAACACCTTCATTCTCTCTAAATTTTACGCCTCAAAAACTTATTTGGACTATATTTTTACATTTTTTTATATTTTTAAATAGATCACAAGTGACTGATTTTCGAAATATTCACACTCATAGGTGGATTTTCTTCATTTTAGTTTATTTTTGGTTTATTTTTTAATTTTGCAATTTTGAATTTTTTCATAAATTATCAACATGAGAACATGATTCATTTAAATAAGTTTTTTGAGAGTGGCGTAAAATTTAGAAGATATGAAGGTATTACTTATCCATGCCGTCCGCCATTGGCGATTTTTTTGCAGATAGGTGTTTCTTGTTATACCAAAAAGGTTTGCTGTGTGTAATTTTATAAAAAAATTCCAAATTACAAAATTAAAAATAAATTAAAATGATGTATGACCTTTGGGTGTGAATATCTCGAAAATGAATCATTTTATGAGATCCCAAAAAAGTAGGTACATAATTTGTTTAAAAAACATTAAAAAATGTAAATGTAGAGTCCAAATAAGTTGTTGATCAGTGGCGTAAAATTTAGAGAGGATGAAGGTGTTACTTATCCATGCCGTACGTCACTGGGATTAATAATTATTGAATTTTCAACTTTAACATCAGCTAATCTTCAGTTGTTCTGTGTACCATTTTTATTGAGACCCTGTATTTTTAATTTAGTTTTCTTCGCGCGCCACTGGTAAAAACCAAAAAATGTTTTTGGAGTAAGTAACCGACTTTTTTTGTTGCATTAAACATTTTCACTAAGTTTCAGCTTGATACTAATTTTAATATTTTAGATATTTATTTTTTATTTTTTAACACCCTGTATTTTTGGGACCACTCATTTATATGATTTTTTTTTGTCAAAAAATTGAGTTAGAACAACTCCCTTTTTTGACCACAATTAACGATCACCCTGTATATTGATTATCTAAATTGTACCCTCAAAATGAAGAGTTTTACGTAAAATATTCTCAATTTTTAGTACATACATATATTGAAAATTTTAAGCAAATAACATGCGACCCCTATATAAAAGATGCTTTGCACGACCTTGCATTTCACCTCACCTTCTCCGATTCGAAGAAACCGCTGAAAAATTACATTCTTCTCTTTTCTTTCAGGCCAGTCAATTCGCAAGCTAGTAGGCAAAATCCGTTCGGCTAGCGCGGAACGAAAAGCACGTCAGCGCGCGAAACGATCCCCTAGCCCGCCTAGCTACCAACAGGGCCACGTGATCGACAGCAACATCGGCCACAGCATGGATAGGCTGGACAGGCAAGCGCCGGTCCAGAGGTACTACCTTGGGGAAGACCCTTTCGGCGGAAGCATCTACGGGAGGGAAAACAAGTACGAGGGCGCCAGACCGGCGAGGAATTCGCGCAGACCGAGGGAGGTGCAAGAGGAAAGGAGGTAGGAGAGTTTTTCATTGAGTAGGATTGGAGTCGAGGATTTAGGGTTAGAGGGTTGGCTGGTAAAAGGATTTTGGGTGGTGTGGTTTGAGATAGTTTGGGACGCATGCGTGAATATTTGTGTTTATATCTAAAAATGTATTTTCTTGTTATCAAATAATTATTGCAAAAAATATAGAATATTATATTAGCTTAGAAATATCGTTCATTGATACAACAATCCAAATATTTCAAAATTCCTTCATAAACCTATTATTTTAATGTTTTATGGAAATAGTTTATTATTTATAGTTAATTAGAAATGAAATTATGATAAAAAAAGACAAAATAAGGCATTGTTAATAAAATATTAACAATTTTTAAATTCTAGTACTAATTTGTTTCATATTAAAACAAAAGAATTATTAAAATTATTTTTTTTCAAATATTGTTAAAACTTATATTTTCTCTCTTCGATGCAATCCAAATATTACAACATTCCCACTTAATTCAATTTTGATGTTTTATGGAAATTACTATTTATTATAATTAAATAAAAATACTCGAATTATGATAAAAAAATATGAAATATGGCATTGTTAATAAAAATATTATTAACAATTAGAAGAAAATTTTGAATTATAATTAAAATTTAAATAGTATTAATTCTTACATTTTATGAAATTATACTGTGCGGTCCATATGTATGTAATAAATTCGTTTTAAGCCTTATTATTTACTTTTGGAAAAAACCTGAAATAGGTCGATTTCGAAAAATCCGCCATTACCCGAACGGGCTTTTTTTAGACCATTTTAGACGCTCTAAAACATATTTCAAACTACTTTTTTTGTCCTGAAAACGCCTGAAAATATTTTTTTCTACGATCACTATCCAAAGTAAGATTTTGCGCTTCGAAATACAACGGCAAAGGAGTTTTTCCGCGAACTGACATTAAGTGACAGCTTTGTGGCTCGCCGAGCGGAAAACTTGACAGCTTTGTTGCTCGCCTAATTTGAATTAGATATAATAAATAATATTTATTTTTAATAAATGATTTTCAAGTTTTTTGTAAGTAGTTACATGTTTTTTTGTTATATTATCCAAGTTAACATAGACTTTGAATATCAACTGCTTTTTTCATGATTAACGTAGGTATAGGCAACACATTATACGCTACTTACAACAAATTTTCAGTTTTTATATTTATTTCTTAAAAAAGTATGATCGTAAAAAAATCTTGTGTGCATTTTGAGCGAAACGTCCGTTGCCGTTTTCGACATATTGCCGCGCTCCGCTACGCGTCGTGCGGGAAACTTTCTGTCTCAAGCGGCAAAGTATAACTTTTCGCTCTTAATACACAAATAGCTAATTTTCTTACCTTAAAACTTTAAAATTTGTCCTCCAATTTCGATCTTAAAAAATGTGAAGACATTGTGATCAATTTTTTGTTATAGAAATTGCTAAATAACAACATTAGACCATCCATAGAGCAATTTCTTTCGTAAACAGTTTTATTTTTTAGTTTAAGACCAAGAAAATCGTCAAAAATTTGAAATAAACAATATGACAATTGACATTGGAAGTGCGTCGAATTTCTAAAAAACAATACAATGTTGCCATATCAATTGTTACATGCTAATGATCATTTTTACCTATGCCCTGTGTAGTACCAGGCCAACAAATTGACTTGCAGTATCAGAAAGATTCGATAAATTATCAATCATCAATCACAAAACAGCAAAATACTCAATATTGGCGGTAAATCAAAATACGTCAATGTCATTGTCAAAACACGGAAATATTGCGTTATGTCGAATGGACTTTATTCTTCCAATTATACAGACAACGCTCGTACTTAACCCAATTCAGCAATTTTTTATTTAATTAGTGGTCTTAAAACCAAGTAAAAATTAAGTAAAAAAACTAAATAACCTAACCTAAGCCGGACGGCCTAAAATCATGGCGGGTTAAACTTTTTTGAAACATCCTCCGGCTTTGCTGTGATTTCTTGACTATGCTGTATGGCCTGGAGCCATTGCGGATTGCTTCGCCACCCGTGAACTTATTCAAACTTTCTCCAGCTTCGCTGTAATTTTATTACGCTCTACGGTCTGGACACATACGGCCAGGAGCCATTGCGGGTTGCTTCGCAATCCTTGTTCTTTTTTCAAACATCTTAAAGCTTCGCTCTGATTTCTCGTCTGCGCTCTACGGCCTGGTGCCATTGCGGGCTGTTCCGCAATCCGTGACCTTTTTTAAACATTCTCCCTCTTCGCTTTGATTTATGGGCTACGCGGGCTACGCTGTACATCCTGGAGCCATTGCCAAATAGCCAACTTTCAATAGCCGAACAATTTCCTTTCACATATGTTTTCTTAGTCGATTTGGCAACACCGCATTTATAGAAATGCTAATTTTCATATTGTCATTGAAGATAACTTAATTATTTATTTTTTCTAACAATTTGAAAAACGAAAATGATTTAATTCACATTTTTTTATGGCGGCTACTGAACAACAAATGTTTTAGTGTCATGGCGCCCAAAATTGTTATATTTAATTTGTGGCATCTTGTTTGAAAGGAATATTAATTATATCTTTAGCAGTATAAAGTTTTTTAAGTTTTGTTTGGTGCAATCATAACTGGGAAACTAGATTTTGAAAATAAAAAAATTTGATAATGTCTCCATCACAAAACTTCACGTAAAATAAAGCAAATGAATTAATTATAAAATAATTTGAAAAATACATTATAAATATTATGTAATAATCTGCTACATTCTACGTAAAGTTTTGTTCTGGAGACATTAATTATCATCATCATTATTTTCAAAATTAATTTTTTCAGTTCTGGTTGCACCAAACTTAAAAAAACTTTATATTGCTGAAAAAATAAATAAAATCCATTTTATTAAACAAGTTGCCACACGATTTCATTTCTTAATTGAAATTTTCGACAGGGTGCTCATAATTCAGAGGGGTTGCAAGGGGGTAATATTTTCATACTATAAATTGACAAATTACGAATAGAAATCAACCTGTTCCAGGTTTTTAATAACGCTAAAAATAAATTTATTCTATACGTATGGACCACACTGTATGCGGTGACACTGTTAAACTAAAGTTCGCATCATGTAGGATTTAGTTCGCAAATTTAGAGTTTATGAACAGTTTTTGCTTGAAAAATAATTTAAAAAAATAAGGTTAAAGACATTTTTTCTAATTTTGACATATAAAGTGACATTTTGGTAATCGCAGTAAGTGTCAAAATTATTTTCTTTACGCAACAAGTTGCATAATGTTGAACATTATGAAACTGGTTAATAAAAATTCATTATGTCACCAGTTGCGAAAATAAAAGAAATATAATGTTTTTGGTTTTAAAATCAATATAGGTACATTATTATTGAAAGTTTATACCAAAGAAGGACAGGTTGACTTATGAAAATATAATTTGGTTAAACTCACAACCTAGTAATAATGGTGTTTTGGTCCTTATTTTCCATTCTAAATCAGCACAAAATAATTAAAATACAATACACGACAAAATAATCCACATTCTTGAGAACTAAATAACTAGAAGTCGTTGAGATTAACTTAATATGATTTTCTATTTGTCAATGAAATAAATGAAGCATATGCAACTAACACTACAAGAAAGCAATATTAGTTACCTAGATGTCAGTCAAGTTTTACAAAAACACAATTTTGTAACTATTCAGTAACAAAATTAAAAAAATATTTTATGTATCACGTTACGAAATATTTAGTGTAACTCATTTATGTTGCGGGATCTCGCTCTGCATGTCCCGTAAATATTCACTCGTTACATAAAATAAGGCATTTCGTAACTTGTTTTATAAATAGCTATTTTGATTTTTTACCCACCTACCAAATTAGAACGAATTTGGACGCGGGCCACGAGTATCAAATTTTTATTCAAACAGAGTAACAGACTGTACTTTGTCGACGACCACAGTGGGAATTAAATACTGGGTGTCCCATTAATGATGGCGAGCGAATATATCTTGGCAGCCTTGTACACCAACGAAAAAAATATATTCTCACAAAATAGATGACTTCCATTTTCTTCATAAATTACCAAAAAATGCAACAAAACACATTCTGAGAAGGAACCAGTTTTTTTTATTGCCAATTAGTAAACAATGCATGTTTTTGATATTTCTTCTTGTACTTTTGCGGTAGTAGATTTTTACTTATTCTTTTTATATTAGCATTAGCACCGGGACAACTCTATTTGCCACAAAATACTTGATATTTATTGATAGTTTACTAAAAAAAGTGGCAATTTTCACTTATACATATTATTTGCATTTTGCATAATGTTTTAACCAACTAACTACGCCTACTTGAATGACTACATCTTTGTCTTGAATAAATGAGTCAAAAGACATATTCTACTTAAAAAGCAGATCCCAATTATGTATTATATAAAAATGTAATGTTAGTACAGATTTCAATTGCCTACTCTTACTTCTACATATAATTCTATTTTTATAGATTTAGTATGTGTATTTTAGTTAAATAAAACATCATAAAATCCATATACAGTTTTTGCAATAGTAGTTTAGTAAATTATTTCCTGATATGGAATACTGATTATATTTATTTCTGGCCAATCCTTACTGTTTAGTTATTCCACACCACTGTAACATACTTTTTTCTACACCCACATGAATATTATCTTCTTTTCTACACACAGTCTACAAGACGAAAAAGTATGTCATTGCATTCCACTAAACAATAGTAGTTTGTACAACAAGAATGAATATGATGGCCATATCAGGCCATACGGACAATCCACTCGAGTTGTACAGTATATTTTTTATACGACCCACTAACGAAAATCTACAAATTTATTATTATGGGATACTGAAAAAATTTAAGTTAAAATTTAAATTAATTCAATTTAGTAGATGTCAAATTTGACAGGTATAGACGATCTATTAGGCATTCCAAACAAAATAACTGTCGGTGGGAATGGTTGGTATATCTAAGGGG